CTACTTTCCTTCCAAGTCCCTCACCTGCTTTCATCCATGTAGGGAGGATGAAAGCAGGTGAGGGACATCGTTCCCTGGTTATCTAGTGGTGATTAGCAAGGTCCAGTGCAGGACTTACTAATGATCCATCATTCGGCCGGAGCTCAGAACTGACAAGAGCTCTGCATGTAACTGCTCCTGCAAGTCGGGCACGCGGTCCGTGACCGTGTGCCCACCTGTCAGCGGGCCACTTAGTACCAGCTCATTCCCACCAAAGGGAGGGAATGAAGCTACAGAACACTATGGTTTTAAATAAAAAGCTAAGTTTTTTTTCTAGCTTGGTAGGAATTTACTATTTTCAACAGCGTAGAAAGGCTGCTAGAGAAAACGTACTTGAGCAGCGTACTTCCTGAACATATATATGGCATTTTACACATCAAGCCTCATCTATCAAATTGTCTCAGGTCGCAACACCATTTCCCAGAGCAACTTGATCTCAACAGCTATCTAATACTGCAGGCTTCCATTTGTCCGGTCAATATGTGGGAACAGACTATTCTTAGTTCACCCAAGGCAGTTGTGTGGTTTGCAATCTTTATATTGTATAGCTTCATTAATTATGTATTTGCACTAGTCCTTGCAGGCTTAAATGACAGCGTGATTGGTCACTTGAATAGTTTCAACCCAGAGCAGTTTAGAAACCGCTTTGCTGTAAACACATTGCTCAGCCACCGATGGAAGGCTGGAGACTTGCTCTGCCCTGAGCAGACTGGGAAACCAGTCTCATTCTCAGTACAGAATGGTGCAAATTGCTCTGGAATGTTGGTGGTCATCCTGCATGAACTGGGCAGGTACACTTAAACCCAATGCAAAAGTAAAACAGACTTAAATACTTACGGTCAAGTCCATTTATGTAGCGCATCTTGATTTCACAGTGGCCCCAAACGGCACTGACAACAGGATAAAGTTTCTTTCCCTTTAGTCCTCTAAAAGCAGTGCCCATGTACTGTCCGTCAACAATAAAACTCAGCGTACCATCGTCCATGTCTAGTACCACCATGAAAGAATCTGGCACAATGAAGGTTTCATCAGGCTCCAGAAAAGCAGGGTATGTTCTACTTGGTTGGTTTTTACCATCATAGTACAGTTTGTTCCTCCCCAAGTCCCAGCCCCATGACTTGCCATTGCTGCCTATTAGTGTGGTATATCCTACAGAATGTAGTGGTGCGTCTGCAGTTGCTACTCCGACAACAGCATGAGTCCCTCGCTGCCTCATGACCCAAGTTATTTCCCAAACATGTAGGCCCCGCGTGTAACCAACTTTGCCACGAATGGCATCTGTACTTTGTGCCACCGGATGCCGGTGAAAAGCAAGTTTGTCATCTTCTTTGACAAAAACATTGAGTGACCGATCGTTATTATTCCACGAGTGCTGAAGCTGTACTTCATAAGGTACTGGCGGCATATCCAATAGGAGGTCCAAACGGGCAGGTTTACAGTAGTCCAGACCCTGGAGATCTTGTTTTAGCGGCCTGTATGTAGGGTCCCTCATATCCACTGTCTTTATGCCTCCTGTAACCTTCTGACCCATAATCCAATGAAGTTTTACTTTTATCGTCCAAAAGACAATGTCATCCAGATGTCCAGCCCTCGTGTTCGCTGCCCAGTAGAAGGTTTCCGAGGAGGTTAATGATTCAGGCCAGGCTATCCTAGTATAGAAAAAGGAAATAAGTTAATTATTGAACAAAGAGTACTCCATGTTTACAGCTGAAATAGACACTGGCTATGTTCAAGCCAAAATGCAGACCTGAACCAAGGACAGGACAGAGCTACGTCTACAGGTAAAAAATAATGACAAATCCTCTAAAGTACATCACCTGAAAGGTCACAACTTCAAAAAAACATTAAGTTAACTTTGCCATTCAGCTTACTAAACAATGTTTAAAAAGGCAGCAAAGTGAGCAGCAGACAGTGTGGGAATTACTCTGCAACGTACTTCTATGTTCAACATCAATATTCTGAAATGTACCTGCTGGAATCCAGACAAGCTGCTGAATACACAATTGGGATTGCTTCGCCAGTCATACAGAACTCGAATGCAAATTGCTGAACTACCTGTGGCACAGTAACCCCTATTAAACAGTAAAGCCAGGGCCTCTACTTCCAATACAGCAACACCACCCCAACTTCAGCCTTCTGAATGGATAATCGAGAACAAATTTCAAGAAATGTCACCAGCACACCAAAATATTTGGTGCAATCAGTAAATGCCCATTTATTGTCACTCAAGTGCAAGCGCTTTCTGGGCCACGCAGGGTCCTTAATCAGGCTCAGAATGACCACAACCATATGTGCAAACCCCATTTATATAGACGTATGTGCTCAGTATCACTAGTCATATACATCTATATAAATGGGGTTTGCACATATGGTTGTGGTCATTCTGAGCCTGATAAAGGGGACCTTGCATGGCCCCGAAAGCACTTGTGTGGCAATATTTAGCAATAAATGGATGTTTCCCGGTTGCGTGCTGGTGACATTTCTTGATATTTGTATCTTATATCACGGCGCCAACTGTGGTCATTACAAGCACCCACCTGCATTTTTGCATGGGAACTTATCCGGTAAGGAGTGCAGCAAGACATAATTTCACTATCTGGACAATAGAGAAGCCACACTACTTCTGTCCGAACATTAGCAGAACCCAACTGGTTCCCAGTGCTCACCCACCCTGCAAACATTTAAAAATACACTTCCTCAATGTTAAGGGAATACATTTTTTTCCCCTCGCAGCTAAAAGTGTTATCACCCTATTATCAGCATATTAAAAAAAAAAAAAATGTTATTTGCATTTAGAATGTATATTTGCGCTTAAGCGTGCCAATAGTAGAGGAAAAGCACAGTCAACCATAAAATCTCCAATAAGCTTGTGTACTTAAAGCCGGTTTGTTGCCATGGATTATTGCACATTACTGCGCTTTGTCATATTTCAGAAAGTAACTTTCTCCACAATCATGTAAACTGACCACATCGCTGACTGTCACCAAATCCCAGTAATGTTCCTTATTTGTGCAGCTGCCGCTGACTCACTAACACAAAAATGAAGAATCATTAACTTTATATTTAACATTGTTAAGCAACACATGAGTCTACATACTGCAATAGGGCACCAATCTAAACATGCAATTACACTTTAGGGGGAGAAGAGTGTAAAGGTAATTTTTATAGTTTAGAAAAGAGTGAAGTTTAGGTCTGACAAGTTCTCACCGCTGTATCACTACTGTGTAGCTTCACCCCACTGTCCTGTGACCAATATCACCTAAACAAAAAGGAGAAAATCTCTGGTCATGAAGCCTGGAATCCTAATGGGGACAAGTGTTATAGTGACAATGTATTTATGGTGGAAATCCCCCCCACTTAGGAGAGTTTAGCTCACGTGTTGTTATGTCCAAGACAGAAAGTGAATGGAATCTCCCTAGCAGGAAGCAGAGCACAAGAACATACCTGACAGGTTTCAGCCCTTCTCCATTCAATTAGACAAGCTAGTACTATACACAAAAGGGGGAGGGTTTCTATAGTTCACTTTCTATAGTGCCAACAGGTTATGCAGTGCTTTAGAGTACCTAGGGGGGGGG